ATTTAAATGTCAATCATGGTTGATTTTCTGACAGAATTACTCTGACATTTAATTTCAGGCTTCAAGTACATGAAAGAGGAAGTAGTGATTTGTTGTAAAATGTTCTGGAAAGTTCATTTTTACTTGGAAACTATTGTCAAATTACCGACGGAATTTATTTAAGAAGCCAAGATCATCTTGTCTTGCGATTGGGAACTATATGTAAAGTGCTGTCAAAATCCATATAAAAATCCAAGATCGCAAGGTCCTACTTGTCTTGATGATGAATACAGATTATTGAGTCACTTAAAAAACACCGATGAAGAATATTTATATAAAAAAAGTGAAAATATAGAGCTGATAAGTTAATGATAGTACATGTACATGATATGTACATACATGTCAATTATTATATTGGAATTTACAATGTTAATAAATGCTTTATACATTTGATCTCATAGACATTTGAGGAATAAAAATCAAAAACTATTTCAAAAAAAGAATCAAAATATGAATCAATTTATTTTTATAATAGAGCTGTTTTGATTTATTTTTTGCTGCCTGTTGTGAATTTCGCTGCAAACATGATTCATGACATGCAAACTGCAATATATTCAGTTGTCTTTAATACAGAATGTAGCTAATGAAATTCGTAGATTATGAAAATCATAATGTCAAGTGTCAGTTGTGGTAAATGCACATGCCTTCCCCACATCTTTTACCTCACCACACCCCAATAGCCACTTGAATTATTTTACATCATTTGACATTTGTTGTCCATCCATATGCTATTCAGTTGCTATTTCAAAATTTATATTGTCTAGATTAAAGATGAAATGGAATATAGTTATGTTCAGTGAGACAGCAACCAAACAAAACAATCAAACGAATTATAATATATTTTCTGGAAAAACTTGTGTCTCACTAACTGACAACCTCATTACCTATCACAATGATCAATATTACTGAAGTCAGATAAATATTGTTTTGTATAATTAGATATGCACTCAAATTAATACAGATTGCAACAAAGATTTCTGGAAATGATTTTTTTTTTAAATATGGCCTTATAAACATATAAGATCAAAACTGTGAATACATGTACTTCTAAATGTAGAAATGGAAAAATTTGTTCTGACTAGAATTGCAATTTTGTTACCCAAAACATCCATCAAAGATTGCTGAAGAAATAATGAGTATTCATAAACAAAAACATCAACCTGTCTCATGATACATGTCTGCTGTCAATGGTCTCATTTTCATGGTTCAGTGACTGCTAAAAAAAGATACTTGCATTAGGTATATGGGTTCCTTGCAAGTCTGCTCGTCTTTCAGACATGCATGACATGGTTTAATCTATCTCAATCTCATTGCATGGATAAGTGATCAAGTTTAAAGTTACCTGATTAGGATTGTTAGCAATAGGTCATTTGTCAATGTCAAGTTTTTATGATTTAGTCTGTTTTCCTAATATAAAAAGTAGTAGATAAACCATATTTGCAATGATTGTAAGGAGTACATGTATGTCTGGTAGTTGACATTTACCTCATTTTCATGGTTCACTGGTCAATTGTAAGTCCTTTTTAAGATGCTACATTGTGTAATCAATAAGTCGACTGTATTTGGTTTATGGAATGATTATTAGGTGTATATATAGAAATAAGAAGGTGTGGTATGATTGCAAATGTGACAACTCTCCACAAGAGACCAAATGGCACTGAAATTTACAACTATAGGTCACCCTATGGCCTTCAAAAATTAGTAAAAACTATACCGCATAGTCGGATATAAAAGGCCTCCAAATGACAAATGTAAAACATTTTTTTCTATTTCGTTTATACTATATATGCTATATATAGTTCAACAATATTTGGTGTATGGAAAGATTGTAAGGCTGGCTTGGTTTATCTGACATTCAATGGCATCATTGTCATGATCATTGATACTTGTAGAAAAAAAATATCTTTAGGAATATATCAACATAAAATCAATCATGAATGATGCTTAGTAAAACAGATGAGATATTTTAGCTCGTGCAATCTTGTTAACACAAAAACAATGTGCTGAAAACTGACTACCATACATGTAGATATATCTAGGAATATGTGATAACAACTTGAAAAATATGTGCATGATCTATCCTGATATATCTTGTTTGTATTGAAACAAGTCCTAACAGTTCAAACCCATACCACGTAGTCCGCTAAGATAAAAGGCCCAGAATTAACGTTCTTTTGTATATATTTCACAGAATAAGAGTTTAAATTGTGCTTGCTGAAAATCCACTAGCAAATAATTCAAGCATAATACGGATGTGAAAATATGGATGATAAGTACCACACGAAGGTTCTGCAAAGTAGGAAGGGCGAGATATATTTTCTGCCACTGGTAGTTTATTAGGAGATAACTGTATTGTATTTTAAGTCCCGACGGCTTACTGGCGACGCGTTAGCGGAGCCAGTCAACGAGTGTTTGAGACCATCAAATCACCATTTGATGCCGTCGGGGCTTCAAATACAATACTGTTATCTCCATTCTAATGAAACTGACAGAAAACAACGCCATAACATACATTTAACATTGTCATACGTCGTCTGCGCTTGCTCAAACGTTTTCATGGCATTGTGAATTAATGCCATGAAAATTGGTGACGTTATCCAATCAAAATGTACGTTACAAACGATGTTGCATTAGAATGTACAATGAATGTTGTGTATGGACAAAAAACCCTATTTTCTTCCTATACGAGGCTGCGTATTTATACATCCAGCTGTGTGACCACCCTGTCAAAGCAAGGGGTTATGTGTCGGATTAGAAAAGTCATATGACTATACCCATGTTAACCCTACGAGTCCATTTAAAAAAAAGTAATCTCCTTATTATCATCATAGACCGATACCTACGTTCCTTTGCAGCAGGTGGGCCAAACCAGTGATCACACATCATTGAGAACAAAATTGCCATTCATATGTTTTTGCCGCAATGACATGCTCCACTTTAATCTTTTGAAATCAATAATTTTCCTTATTAGCTTCCTTTTTCAAAAACGCATGTCAACAAGTTAGACAGAAGTTAAAGTTTGCCTAAGTATATCACCGACTAATATAACGTCCCTGTGTACTGGGCGGAGTTTTGAAATTCCAATCCCAACTTTTCCTGAACCAATTAAGTAGTATACATTTTGTTTATATATAAAGCCTGTAGCTGGTAGTGTTTGGAACTGTCAGGAAGACTGAGGGCGTCTTAATTTAAATTCCAACTTGGTCAAACCAAAGATAATGCTCTTCTCCGGAAAGAATGCGGCATTGAGGAACAATGTGATAGACCGATATATAAGGTTGGAATAATAGGTACAGGTTACTATTGATCAATTTTCATCTATGATCAAAGTCGGAAAACAGCAATTTATTGAAGTGTCGGGTTTTCTCTGTGGAAAACAAATACTAGGTTTAGTGAAATGGGTTGCTCGAGTTCCGGTAGTCTATTATGATAATACATTCTTTTTCAATTGTTAACCTTTTCACGCTGACATTTCCTCCTTTTTAAAATGCTAACTCGGTTGGCACATTGATAGATAATCAGGAAAATACAAAATAACATACAGCAAATTATCAAAAGAAACTATCATAAATAGAAAACATTGGCCCCGAGGTCTTATGTTTTAATGACTAGAGTTCCGGAAATCATGGAATTATGATATGGGAAAATTTGTTAGATATCCTCTTTATGTTAAAAAAATACGAAAAAAACCTTCTAGTTAGAGGACAGTGGTTGTTTTAAAGTGCATTTTTGTGCCCATGATTTGATGAAGTATATAAATCTGTAAATTAAAATGTTAGATGTGACTGTAAAGTTTTTAGTCTTTGCTTGAAAATTGTTATGTTCAAAACTGTTTTTGGAAAATAAAAAATACTTTGGCAGTGAGAAAAAATTTTACATACGCCGGAATAAAATCCTGACAATACTTGAAAATGAAGATATTTCAAGTATGAAAAAAAAAATTATGACAGTGACAACATGTAATAATACGCAAAACGGATAGCGTGCAGGAGAATCCTGATGCCTTTATAGCATACTATATTTGGGTTTTACTTGTTTTTGACACGCAGTTGTTTAAATCGCTGTCCTTTGTTTACGGTTAAACATTGCGTCATTGGCAGTCGTACAACAACAACATGTCAATATTTATAGTTTCTTTTTTTTTTCGATAATTGTTATGCTTTATATCATGTATATTTCTGTCCTTTTAAATTTTTCTGTGAAAAATGAACTAAAAGTTTTGCATCGCTTGTTGACATGGGGAAAGGAGGCTCTTAGACACGTCCGCGTTCCAATGTCGTCCAAACTATCTTTGAGAAGACCCCTCAAAGCGATCGTTTCCAAGGCGCTCGTTGTTAGAAACATGAGTTAAAAACTGCGCACTGTTAAAGGGCCGAGTCACCTTAAATTAAATTTTTGTTTTCGCTCTTACCTGTCATTTCAGATCCCCCTAAAAAAGTAAAACAGAACTTTAGTAGTAGGGATTTGGAGGTCTTTTGTGGGGGCTTTGATGGTTCAACTTTTTAATTCATAATTGATATTATGGCATAAAGGAAATAAAGAAATTATTTTCAATGGATTTAACTGATTGTATATATTTGTCAATTTTCATTTATATTGTGTACTTATTATTCACTCGTCACAACATTACTGTTTGAAGATTTTATGGTTACACATATTTTGATTAAATTGTTTCCAATTTTCACGTATGTTCATTTTTTAGATTTCTACTATTTTTTTTTTTGGAGACTGTTGTCTGTCTTATGGTTGTTCTTCGTGTTTTGACATGTCATTGTTGTCAGTTTGAACTTTCGAGTTTAATGTTCCCTTTGATATCATTCGGCTCTCCTATACTTTCATTATACGTATGTTGATGTGAATTTCTTTTAACTAAAATTTTCCATATACAACAGAAAACTAAACATACTATGAAATAAAACCCTTTGACTTTGTACGAAGATGAAAAAAAAAATATCGTTTACCTGCCATCCTGTGTCAGTCTGTTGAGGTTTAAGTCCAAAATGTTTCCGTCAAAAAAATGTTTACTTTCGTTTCCAATAAATTCAAAACACCTACTCAATACTAAGTAGGGCCAATTTGTCGAGATTTTATTTCAGTTGTCCAGGTAAATACAATTAATCTTTAATGTCTTAGTAAGTCCTATATTTAGTTCGTCACGCTCTCTATGTAATCTGTAATGTTAAAGGACAAATCAAATGTCTAAATTGATCATAGGAAATGATATATTTCAAAAAACAATATTCAAAACACCAAGATCATATGCCATAACACTTGGCACAATTGAAATAATAATAAAAAAATATTTAAGTATATTTATAAATAAATATATGTATAAAACGTCTAGACATTAGTCTTTTTACGAGGGCGTTGGGTCGTTATAAAAACTATACAGTACCTATACATTGTAAATAAATTATTTAAACGCTAAAAAAGTTGATTTTTAATCCATATTGATCGTGAGTGATCAGGAAATGCAATATTTTGATTGACAAAAATCTCTATAGCCTTCTTTTTTTTATTCAACAAATGATCGCAAACTATTAATCAATGACACCTTTTTTTGTATATATATACATTCGCTAACAACAAAGTTTTTGTATAGTTGATTGTACAAACAGTATATAGTATACACTTTCTCGATAAAGTACTTACTTAGGAAAACATAAAGACAAGGTTAAACAAACGAAAACAACAATGTAAAAACCTCTTGTCTTCAAATCCCACCTCGTGACCCACCTGCAACAGAAACACCCAAGGCAAATCATTCGTTGCTAGATGCATTAATACCAAGTCTTGTGAAGAGACATACGGTTAAAAGGAACATGATAGCAAAAGACAAATAAGGGGTAAATGTAAAGCAAATATAAAGATACACAACTTCAGCACATTTCAAAATGTTGGTAATTAAAATCATTACTTATATAAAAAAAATATGAACCATTGGAACGAGGTAGAACACTTAAAGTTCATTTTCTGATTACAGGAGGGTGTTTTAGTAATGTTTGTCCATTATTCCAACGCGATACAAAAAGCATCCATCTATAATGATTGTTTGCACTAGTAAGACAGAGCACCGTTGGTGAAAATGAAACAACATATCTTTATAGGGATTCAATCTTCTGTTATTTAAAAAAACAGACTGAGTAAAGCCATTACCCCCAAACGATCCTGTAAACATGTATTTTTGTAAATTTTATAAAATTGTTTGAGAAAATCTCATGTGTATTTATCGCTACATATATTGTTTTTGAAAATTTAATAGATTCATAGATTTTAAGTATATTATCCTCGAATAGGAAAAAAATTGATTTAAGTCCACATTTCTAGCAATTTGTCACCTTTTTCGACTGTTTGTCATAATTTTATATGTGGCGCCACCAATCGCCCATCCAGGTTTTGGTAAAAGGAGAAGAATATAATATATATAAAGACTATTTCAGCAAAAAATGTTGCGGGCGGCGAGAGGTGGCGCCACAGTGAATTAAAAAAAAATGTTTTAAATTGTGCCAAAGTATGCAAAAGAAGGTTTATGAACTTTTTATCTACATTAATGACGTCAAAAGTACATCACTAATGACGCAATTGAAAGAAATTTTTCTTTTTCAACTGAAAATATTGCATTGTAATTTATGTTTTCATCCAATTTTCACAACATTATCACAGTCAAGGTTTTTCAGGTTTTCATGGTCAAAATTATGAGTTAGTAAACCAAACTCTTTTACCATCCTGAGTATGTCAGGGTTGTGCTTGCATACATTCACTGATCTTCAACTATTTAATTTTTGACATTTTGTCAGTACCGAAGCAATGAGTAATGAGCTGTTCATACTCCTAGAACTAACAATCAATCAGCAGATTTATCGACCCAGTGCTAGAAAATAATTCTTTGTAAATTTGCTTCCATGAAGCGCATTAGTGGGGCTCCGTTTGTTTGTGTATAATGTTTAGATAGCCACGTCGGCTTCAACTAGTCAATTTAAAACAAATTCTAACAGGGTCTGTTCTTCCCTCGGTGCACGCCAAGAACCTTAGCAAAACTCCATATTGGTTCAATAGATGGCCAGTTGCAGGGCAAAACTTCTGACCGTATCTAACATTTCCTTGCAGTCAAAAATATAATTATCACTTGACGTTTACCAATCAACAACAAATCGTTATCTAATAAATATAGACTTGAGGTAATAAAAATAATATATTTAGAATTCAAGGTATTACATATTTATCATTTATTGTCTGCTAGTTTCAATATTTCCACCCTTTCTAAAAACTTTAAACATGTGGGAGATCGATATTGATAAGAATGTATTAGTGTGTAAACGCTGATTTGGTCATTAAAACTTTGCCAAATCAAATCGCCTTTCTTTCAGCATAAGATGCTTCAAAATAATTTTTCTGAAATTGCTAGTCATGATACAAAACTTATGCAGACAAAGGGTAAAAGGGCTAAATGGTATCTCACAGGTAAAGCAAAGATGCAATTTAACTCTAATTTCAAATAAATATTTTATCCTAAATTTGACAACAAAATAAAATTTTGTATAATTGATGCTTACAAACTTTAATCGTTTTTATTTTATTTTGATTGTTCTTTAGATTTTCAATCGAAGGATACATTTAAACCTTATTCATTACTCTGAACTTTAGAAAACTGAACAGCATGTATTATCTTAAAATGTAGTTCATTGGAATAAAGATATCTTAGTGGTATTGATATAGATAACTTAATGTTCATTCAAACTTAAATCCTTAACTAGCAATTCATTTTTTAAAACCATTTCGAAAACATCCAAATAAAGCCAAACTGCTAACTGCTGTATTACATTTCATCCAGATAAATGTGTTAGTCTGAGAACACCTGTGGTGGGTTCCCGAACCTCCAGGGAAAAACAGTAAAGTAAAGAATGAAAAAATAATATTCCATTACCTTATATTATTTCATTTATAAAATTTGTTTTTATATTTTAAATTTAATATTTTCTCAGTACCACATGCTTACATCGTTCTACTGGCCGGGTTTTTATTTGATTTTGTATCGATCGTTGCCCTATTATCTCAATAAACTTTTGAACAGGTAAATATAACCGTTAGTAAACCACATTTTTTGTAAACTTTCTATTCAGCAGAAAAATTGGAGTTGACTTTAAATTTCAATTTGGTCATGGTAAGTATTGTATTGTACTACTTAACAAAGATTGATATTAAGTGCATTTTTTAACATGTAAACATGTATTTAAACATTTATTTAAAAACCAGTTGTTGGCATGACACGGGTTATGTTCTTCTCATATATGTTATGATGGTATGATACTAAACCCCTAACGGGAAGGATTGTGCCTGATATTCATATGATGAAGACATAATCTTTCAATCAGTTTAATTGAAGTCTGGAGCTGGCATGTCAGTTAACTGCTAGTAGTCTGTTGTTATTTATGTATTATTGTCATTTTGTTTATTTTCTTTGGTTACATCTTCTGACATCAGACTCGGACTTCTCTTGAACTGAATTTTAATGTGCGTATTGTTATGCGTTTACTTTTCTACATTGGCTAGAGGTATAGGGGGAGGGTTGAGATCTCATAAACATGTTTAACCCCGCCGCATTTTTGCGCCTGTCCCAAGTCAGGAGCCTCTAGCCTTTGTCAGTCTTGTATTATTTTTAATTTTAGTTTCTTGTGTACAATTTGGAGTTTAGTATGGCGTTCATTATCACTGAACTAGTATATATATTTGTTTAGTGGCCAGCTGAAGGACGCCTCCGGGTGCGGGAATTTCTCGCTGCATTGAAGACCTGTTGGTGACCTTCTGCTGTTGTCTGTTCTATGGTCGGGTTGTTGTCTCTTTGACACATTCCCCATTTCCATTCTCAATTTTATATATGTGTTTCTCTAATCTATATTGCATTTATTGTTTATTTCCTAATCATATGTACCTGTGTATTATCGTATAATCACAATTTTAATGATTATGTTCTTCCGTATTCCATTGTATCTACAGCGGTTTATCAGAATAAAATATATTTATATGATAAACTAATTCTAGTCTAATTTATTTTTAATATTCATGTGATTTTATTTTACACAATATAACACAGTAACATGCAGACGATCAATAATTGATAATTCATATCTATTTAACAAACAATAATTAACATAACATTTGAATACTTGTATTTTCGTCATGTAAACTTGTAAAATTTTAAACAGCTGATTTATGTTTGTCTTTCTAATTTCATAAAAATAGGATCTGTTATAATATTCATTTTTGAATTGCGCAGACACATCTTTTGGTTTTGTTTTATTGCTTGATAGACAATTACATTTATTTAAGGTATATAATTTTTTTTTAATAAGTAATGTTTATCATTACATGTACATGTACTGTCTTCTATTTTTTTCCAAATCAATGAATGTGTTATGTTTTTTATAGACTTATCAATATGAGACTTTTGAATCGATACAGAGGACATGTAAAAATAGCACTTCGGTGTTGACATGAATATCAATTATATGGTCATGTTTATAAATTTCTGAATGTCCGAATTATTTTAAAAATGATTTACAAAAATTAAATATTTAAAAAAAAATATTTAAGCCCTGATTTTAATGCCTTAAATATCATCATATCATTCTGTTTGTAACGTTTTCTCGTTTCCTCCCCACCCACCAAACAAAAACAAAATAAAAAATGCATTCGGAATATAAGGAAGAAAAAACGTTTTAGAATAACAACATATGCATAGTTTGCAACTGCCGTCGTGATAGTGTTACTTTCATATCAACAAATTCCAAAATGTGACAATTTTTACATGCTTTTAAACTCCGTTTTACAAGAAAATCAACAGCTGTGCCTCATTATTTAGTTCGCGAATACACATATATAGTGTTTACATTTTTTTACCCGGATTAATGACCATTACTCGACACTTCATTGATGAGTTTACCCCCCAAAACACCTGTCTATAGATGGACTGGTCTGTGATGAGCGAACCTGTTGAACTCCGCCCAGTCAAGTGAAATAAATTAAGTAATACCCATAGAAAAAACATATAGGTCATTTTTTATCCAAATGGATCAAAATTCTATAATTTTTT